CGGTAGCGTTAGGTCGAACGTTCGTTTCTTCTTCGTTTTGTTCGTTCGTGCCAGTGCAGGAAAACCGATTTTGATCATCTTGTCAGGAAGACCTGTAACGCTTATAGGTTTAGTCCCTTCTACAACCTGTGACTAGATAGGGAAAGGAGAAGCAACAGACTCAAGAGCTTATCTCTCTGTCACAGTTCTCCCTCCAACTGTCACCATGCTCCTTACACTGTAGCAGAACTGAGTGGTTTCTTGTGCTGCTTCTTCCCCCTATCTAAGCTCTGCTGCACGGGGGACTTCCAGAGACTGATTCCAGTTCAGATTCAGGTGTCCTTTTAATAAACCGTGATAAAGTCTACTTTATCGTGTGTTGTCTTTTCTCTACATATCACAGTGTTATTTTTTATCACTTTTTGAGAAAACTTTGAGCCTGTTTAAGTGGCCAATTTATCACAGTAATAGGCTGTGATAGCAGCAGTGAACTCTCACTGTGATATCACGAGAAAAGACTGGAGAAAAGAGCAGAGAATGCTTTTCAGGGATGCACACAGCAGGGGTGTGGAATTCCTATCGCCTGATGCCCGGGGCATGCAGTTCCGGGCGGGTAGTTTTTTGTACATTTAGCCCTCCTTCGGGCAAGCAGAGCTAAATGTACAGTGGGAAGCACTGCACGTTTTGTACAATTGATCAGATCACTTGTACCAGCCTGTCTGTCCCCCCTCACGTGGTTTTCAGGGTCCCCCGCTTGTCTGGGGGCACGGGGACCACGGCAAATGAGCTCAGGGTGGGGAGCAGAGCGCAGAACGTAATCACAGAACTGTAAGAACTGTAATCACAGTGCCACCCATCTCGGGTGTTGGGAACTGCACAGAAGAGCTGTTCTGTGTTGGAAGGCAGGTTCCATAAAGAGAACCTGTCACCTCCAAACTTACATTGTGTGTGTGCGCTGAGTGCTGCCGCCATTCCACTATGTGCCATATTGAGGTAGCAAGGCAGCAGAACTCTTAAGGCCGGTTCACACAACAAACAGTGCATTCCAGAGCGGTCAGCCTCTGGAAAGCACTGTATTGCACTCCGGCCAACTCCTTACGTTCCACCATTGCAGATCGAACTGGACCGAAACACAGGCACTAGTGAACGCAGGGAGCCGGCCAGAGTGCGATACAGTGTGTTCCAGAGGCTGAGCGCTCGGGAACGCACTCCCTCATGTAATATACTAATAAGGTACACGTGTTTCATCCGAATTACAGTCTCATTGTGCCAGGGGGGAGGGGGGTCAGATAGTTCTTAACTCATCTCAGATATGACATGTGGCTCAGCAAGGCTAATCATGTCCATGGGATGTTGAAGTATCCAATGCCCATATGTGGTATAGGAAAAACTATTTTTTTGTATCGGGACAAGTGAATTGTCACGAGGAACAAGTAGATCAGGCTCCCACTTTAATCCTTGGGCAAGTAGTTTTTTGTCTTTTTTCTTTATTCCATACGCCTGACACAGGAATTCCTGGGAGGAAACCAATGATCCTACATATGTAGATACAAACTAAAAAACACATAACACCCTATATTATAATTTTTCGTATAAAAATTTGTATAATTTTTTGTATTATAGAAAGCCCCCTAAAAATGAACATTATAATAAAGCTTATGAGAGGCTTTTTTGTTTTGCGCTGTAAAAATATATGATTTTTATTTTTTATTTTTTTATTGCAAACAATTTTGTATTAAACTCATAAAACTAATGGCTCGCTGACACCAGGTGCACTGAATTGCATTGACCAGCTAGATCAACACAGGCTAAGGGCCAAGTCACACCATAAAGAGTGCGTTCCAGAGCGTTCGGTCTCTGGAATGCAACCTGTCCGGCTCACTTTGTTTTGGGGCGGGACAGTGCATTGAAGTCAATGGCACTGCAGCCACTCCCCTCGCCCGCAGTGCGATCGCCGGCACCCGAACGCATAGCACAATAGTGACTGCGTTCCAGTCCAGTGCGATCTGCAAAAAATGCTGCATGCACTACTTTTTGTAGATCGCACTGGACCAAAACACAGGCACTAATGTGCCACGCATTCGAGTCCTGGCGATCGCAATGTGGGTGGCGTGGCTGCAGTGCCATTGACTTCAATGCATCGTCACGCCCCCTCCGCCCCAAAACAAAGTTAGCCGGCCGGGTTGCATTCCAGTGCATTCCATGGGCCGAACGCTGTGGGACAGACTCTTTATGGCTCAACACAAGTACAAACAGAAAACAATTGTATTCTGTGTGTCATGTTCACACCATAACAATGCGTCAATTTGTGTTGTGGAAAAATGCAGCATTTTTGCACATCACAAGGCACATTCCACCACTGCACTGTGGTGCAGAGTTAAATGAAGTGTAATTTTTTGTCACTTCAATAAAGTTTAAAATAAAAATAAACTGTGATGTGTTGTGACACATCACACCACTGTCACCATTACACATGCATTTTAGTGTGTGGGCTTGTTTGAACGAGCACTGCGTGTGTTGTTACAATGCATTTTAAATGTACAGTGCACACCAGTGCACATGAATATTAGATGCACCATAATGCTCATTCGCTGATGTGATGCCCCATTCACAGCTAAGCATAGCATGAATGTGAGTCACATTTGAGCATGTTCGCGTGTATTTCTGTACCCCCTTTGTCATGCGTCCCCATTAATTTTAACAAACGCAGCAAAGTAGAGCATCTAGCAAAATCTGTGACATGCGTTCCGTATTTTTCCTCTGCATTTGTGCGTGTTTTAATGCATGCAAACGTGGAGGAAAAATATGCATCTTGCTGGCTGTATTTGGGGTGCCATTAATGGTAGGGCTAGCAAGCGTGTTTTGCATTTTTGGCATGTTTTGCAAATGCATCTCCAAGTACGCATTTTTCTGTGCATTTTCCCAAATCTCTCAGGCATGAATAGGGCCTGAATGGGCATCCAATGAATTAGATGCAGCAGTTGCAAATGGCAAAAATTTTCTCATTTGCGAAACTAATGTATCGCACATCTTTCCTGATGTACCTATGCACCAAAAAAAAAAGTCCTACAAGTGATGAGTGGGGAAGGTGAGGAGTAATGTGTTATGAAACGCCCTATTGGATGCTTTACAGCATGAACAATCCTGCAATTATGCTTGAAAATGTGTATAACGGCCAGCTCCTGGATTTTACCTCAGTGTTTCACCAAAAAAAGGCCTTTATTACCATGTCTGAGGTGGTGGAAAATCTAGGGGACTTTTCCCAACACTTAGCACTGTGATAAAGCTCTTTCCTACTTTTCACCGTTTATTAAACAGGTACATTGCTATCACCCTCTGTGTACTTATCACCATGAAGAGAAAAGATTAGATTTTCAGTTCCTACCTGACTTATCACGGTTTATTAAGTGAGAAGTTTTTTTTACTGCTTATCACACTCTTTTTACAGTTTATTAAATGTACACCTCAGTATAGTAGGGATTGTACCATTTCTATTCTATTCCACTAAATGCAGACACTGGTAACTGCCAATCACCATTCATTTGGAAATGAACTAAGTTTCACTTTATTCAAGTCCTGATGAAGAGGAATTGTGTGAGCCCCTGAAACTCATTAGCTGCCTTTTTCATACTGACGTTTTCAAATAAACTATTGTTTTACACTAAAACTGTGGTGGCACCCTGCTTGTCCTTTTTCAATTAAAATCTTCCTTGGACGCTCCCTCCCCCATTTGGGGCTTGGGGTGTCCCTGTCTATGTGGGAGCAGCCTCTTTAAGAATGTCCTGAGCATTCTGAAGAGCAGATTGATTTTAATATGGGTCTCCTAAAGCAGCAAGGATTAAGAGCCCCTTCACACCATCAAGAGTGCGTTACAGTGCGTTCGACCTCTGGAATGCAACCCGGCCGGCTCTCTTTGTTTTGGGGCGGGAGGGGGCATGGCGATACATTGAAGCCAATGGCACCGCAGCCATGCCCCCCGCCCACATTGCGATCGCTGGCACATGAACGTGTGGCACATTAGTACCTGCATTCCGGTCCAGTGTTGGGGGCGTGGCTGCGGTGCCATTGACTTCCATGCACCACCACGCCCCCTCCTGCCCCAAAACAAAGTGAGCCGGCCAGGTTGCGTTCCAGAGGCCGACCGCACTGGAACGCACTCTTGATGGTGTGACAGAGCCCTTATTGCCTTTTTCCACCTAAACACACCGAGGAGATTTTAATCTGACTGTCTTGTTACTGAATTTTAAATTTTGGTGAGTGGCATGGTGTTCAGTGCCACTTCCCATTCTCTCCACACAGTTTGGGATTCGCTAGCTCTGACTATTGTCAAATTCAGCTTTAAAGAAATGCAATTAAAAATATATTTATGAAAACAGGTGCATTTGTTTTTTACTTTTATATCTGTTTAGAGTTCAGCCTTAAAGCAGACCTTTACACTCAAAAATCAAATTCTACCAATGCATCCTTCTATGTATGCTGTTTAATAATAACCTAGACATGTCAGGTGTAAAATGCTGTGATTTTGAAATACCTACACTTGCAAAGCATTCACTTCCTGCTTTGAAAGGGCAGAATGACTTCAGTTTGCCAAAGCAATGCACACTGGGATTGCTTTGTCATCAGCAGAGCATTGCTGGGAAATCTCATCTGTAATCTCACAAGATCTCAGAGAAAGGCCTTTTCCTACCCTGGGATGATGTGCATGGTCACATGTCCTGGTCACATGTCTAGTCACATGTGCCAGTTTTTTAAGAAGTAAAGGGAGAGCTAGTAATCTGCCCTTAGTAAACATGGCCACTGTTGGAACGACTGGGAAAGAAAAGAGAAATTATGTATGCAAACAATACAAAGCCTGCAATTATCTAGAAATGTTTAGTAATGACAAACACATACTTATAAAGATGTGTTTGTTATTTTAAACATATGGGTAAAGGTCCACTTTAAGGGAATATGGTATCGTAACATTTCTCAAGATTTGTGGCACAATTACTATATATGACAAATGTACTCTCTTTGCACAGGTGAAATTGCTACAAGAGTATTCAGGGCATGCACAGAACTGGGTATAAGGACAGTAGCCGTCTACTCTGAGCAGGACACTGGTCAGATACACAGACAGAAAGCAGATGAGGCCTATCTTATAGGAAAGGGGTTACCCCCAGTCCAAGCCTACTTACACATTCCAGATATAATAAAAGTTGCTAAGGTAAGTGTTTTATCCCAGACGCTCTTCTGTATTTAGTAGTTTACTAATTTCTAGATATTTAAAAGCTTTTACTAGAATACTGCATTTGCTGGAAGAGTGGTTAAAATGATTATATAATCTGACTGTACACACAGGGGCTTTGCTGATACTGTGACCTAGGGCACCCTGAAAAGATCAATGATGTTGTGTAGCCTGCCACGCCGAAGGGTGGGCGTAGCTACATTGCACAGTGAGAGGGGCTTTAAGGGTCATGGTTAAAGCCAAACTCCAGGATCTTGCGAAACACAGAACATTCCCCACATGCCAAAGAAAACTGCTACTGTATGATATTGAATAATGCCTAGCTTTTTCTCCACTTTGTGATATTTGAATCACAATGATGTTACAATTACAACCTTTAATTACCACCGAGGAGGAAACAATTCACTGCATCACATTGTATGCTCTTTTCAAACAGCACTATATATCCCATGAGTTCATGGGAAATACAGGAAGTGTGTGCTGCATTTGTGGGCAGACCTGAGGGGTTAGAGGCATGTATGGTCTAGTATAACTGCCGGTCACATTATGTAGATGGGGCACGACTGAGTCCTGTGCCTGCCCTACCTGCCCTGAGGAGGAGGCATGAGTTTATGATTTTGGCTTCGCTTTCTCAGAACTATAATGAGGAGGAAAAGCAACTTGGGACCTGATTCTTCTTATGGAGAAAACGGTGGCACCCAATCACATAAACAGAAAGAGAGAAAATAGATCAGTAATAAGGGGAAGGTAACTTCAAGATAACTCTGGTTATTCTGGCTGAATGATCTATTCTAGATCATTCTGGCTGGAGCTTGGCATTAAATATAACCTTAGCCTACTGAATGTATACATGGCACTCGTTTGCCTTAGTCCTTCTATGCACAAAATATGCGTTATTTACTGTGCCTCATGTGACAGCATCACAGACAAACATTACCCTTAGCATAGTTATGTTTTCCATTGCATATTCTTTTCTGCACAAAGAAAACAGAGCTAGCACTTTCTCTGATCCCTCCTTAAAAATCTAATAATAGAAATAAACTACAGAGGGCAGGGGTCAAGAATGTGTAACACACAGAATTCAGTACTAAGGAGTATATAATGCATAGTTATATAAAGAAAGTGCGAAATGCGTCAGCTATGACTGAGGAAGTGTGTAATTTTCCACCCTCTGGGGAAGAAATAGCCGGGATTTAGTTTTGTGTCCGAAGCGCATTATCTAAAAGCCTACCACACTTGTTGCCATATTCGTAAAAAGTGTGACGATTGCGCATAACAGCATGTTTGACTTTGTAACGCGAGTATTTGTTCTCTCAGCTGGGCCAACTCCTGGGCCATCTCCCTAGAGTGCGTACTCTTAAGGGCTATTTATAGCTGATGTATACGTGCCAACAAGTCAGTAGTATTGGCGAGTCTAGCAACCTTCAGGCGATGTCCATGTTTGATAAAGAAGCCACAGATATAACTCTTATAACTGAAACCATCAATGGATCCCCAACGGAGCCCACATTTAGCTCAAAGAAAGAAGACAGCTCTGAGGCAATTGCAGCCTGGATTGTTGGATCCTGGATCAGAGATTTATTAAGGGGGTTATTCACTGTGGAGCCGAAGGATACATCCGTAGCTTTGGCTGATTCTTCGGCCGTCTGAGCCCTTCGGTTCAGTTGCACTGAAGGACTGCTGTACAGGCTATTCACAATCGCCTGTACAGCAGCCGAGCCAAAGGCATATGCTTCGGCTCGACTGAGCCAAAGTGACAGCCGAAGCATGGAAAAAGGTCGACCGAAGCTCTCATGTCCCATGGAGTCTGTGCGGGTGCACGATGCTCCATATACTTACCTTGTGTCTCTTCTCGTCTCCCGGCCGAACATCTGAACTGTGCATGCGCCCGCCCCAAGATCCTTTGGGGTTGCCCGAGAAATTTTTAGATGTTCGGACAGGAGCGTGCGGCGTAGGTAAGTTTTAACCCTTTGAAAAAGGTTGTTTTTTTTTAATCGTTTTGCATATATATACTGCTTGCTAACAGTAGATATTTGCAAAAACATGCAAGGGTTTAATAACCCTTTAAACAATAACAACTGGGCGGAGCTTGCCGTGACGTCATGACCGGCTCCACCCAGTTGTTTATTGGCCGGGACCTGCTAGAAGACTCTGGCAGGTGCCGGCTCAACAGTTGGGTGGCTGTCACTGCTAGCTCCACCCTATTGTTTTTCTTTTGCAGGCATCTTTGCCGGTGTTTTTAAAATTATTTTTAATATTCTCTTTTTAATTTTCCTTTTAAACTATTTTAATTTTTTAAAACATTTTCCTACATTTTAAAACAATTTTTCAATTTTTTTTTCTTTCACTTATTTTCTATTCTGCTCAGTACCTCGGAGGTACCGAGCAGAATAGCCAAGCCAAATGCTGCTCGGCGGCATTTGGCTATTCACTTACTGCCATTCGGCCCCTATGAGAATACGGGCGAACGGCAGCGAGTGAGCTGCCGGAGCTTCGGCTCAGCCGATCTAGATGTTGGATTGGCTGAGTCGAACTCCTTCTGCACTTCGGCTCAGCCAAACATGCAGAGCATGTTTGGCTGACCAAAGGCAGCCGATGTACGGCTGATTTAAAATCAGCCGTACAAGCCAGAAGTGAATTGCCGAACAGCGTTCGGCTCACATCACTTAGGCTGGGTTATTCACTTGGTTGCCTTCGGGAGCTTTGTGAATAACCCCCTGGGACAGATTGTACTGTCCACAGGGTGAGGTAATTACTGGCTACTATGTTAGCAATAGGTTGAAACAGGCGGTCAGTTACAAAATGGGTTAACTCACCTAAACAGGCTGTGGACAGAAGGTTTTAAAAGGAGACACAGAAAACAGGTCACTAGAGGTATAGTGAGACCCTGAGAAAATGTTATGTTTGTTTGGCAGGTGTTTAAAAGCTTAGCTTGGCACCTTTATTCAGTGAGGGTGAAACTGTTTACTATGTTTAGGTAGATCTCTGACAGAGATAGGCTTTTTGTTTGTGTTTTTGTTACTAGCTGGCTTGAGAAGACTCAGTGCTGTTTGTGAAAAAAAGTTGTCAGAGTACAATAAACTTCCCTGCTAAGGACTTTTGGACTTCAGTCTCTACAAGTTTATCGGCTTACTGACTGCATTGTGACACATTGTTACCCAGGAGCAGGCACACACTGTTACATCTGGTGTCAGAAGGGGAAGTGATAATTTGTTAAGAGCCCTGGAGCAAGCCGCTGTCTCACAGCAGGAAACAACAAGGAGGCTGCTGGAACAGGCTGTAGAAGCCAGGACTGCTCAGCAGGCAGTCATACAGATCCAGCAAGAAACTAATCAGCTGTTTATGACTCAAATAACCCAGATCCAGGCCTTACTACATATGGCATTGCATCCAGGGGGCGCACCAGCAGAACATGAAGCAGCTGGAACAGTTACAACCATAAGGTTAGGGCTAATAATTTCTTACAAAAACTGACCTCGGATGATGATATGGAGGCCTATTTGATTACCATTGAGCGTGTAGCCAAAAGAGAGGGATGGTCGGTGCAACAATGGGCAGGACTTCTGGCTCCATTTTTGTCTGGAGACGCACTGAAGGCCTACTTTGACATCACAAAGGAAGAGGCAAAGAACTATGATCGCTTGAAGGAGGAAATTCTGGCCTGGATAGGGATTACTCCAGTAGCCAGAGCGCAGAGAGTGCATGGATGGAGGTTTCAGGAAACAAAACCACCAAGGGCACAGATGTTTGAATTAATTAATCTGATAAAGAAGTGGTTACAGCCAGCGACCTGCAGTGCAGCACAGATTGTGGAGTTGATTACACTGGACTGCTATCTCCGCGGACTACCCGCTGCACTACGAGAGTGGGTGGCACAAACAGCGCCAAAAACTTGTGAGGACATGGTAGGACTGGTTGAGAGATATATTGCAGCAAAAGAGGATTTGCCAAAGAAACCTCTTGAGACCGCAAGGGGGTTTCGTCAAAAGCCTGGGGATCAAGTGCAAAGGCCTAAGGAACGCACAAGGAAGAAGGATAATAATACTTTTGGAGTTGAGAAAGACTCCGAAGGAACAAAAGGGTCAGCAAATAGAAATAAATGTATACGCTGCTACACTTGCAGAGAGATGGGACACATATCTACTCAATGTCCAAGCTCACAAGAACCAATGCAAGTTTATTGGTTAGACTGCCCTTCTAGCTCTGCCTCTTACCTCATAAGTGTAGTAGGCTGTGTTAAAGACCGCAACCAGTATGTGTTTAGGGTTAGTATAAATGACAAGGAAACGGATGTACCAGTGGACTCTGGTATCTGAACAGTTTGCAAATGCTTTTGCCTCAAAGCCTTTTGGCGGGACAGGAATTGCTTGTGTTCATGGAACTGTGCGCTACCACCCTAATGTTTTGCTACCTATACTACTAAAAGGGAAGACGGTGACCTTGTTGGCTACAGTAATACCCCGGTTACCGTATTCCCTATTGTTGGGGAAGAACTTTCCTGGGTTTTCTGGCCTAATACAGGAGTTGACAAAGGTGGGGAAACCCAAGGAGGAGGCCTGTAAGGAATCTATTAACGAGTGCTCAGGGGGCAAATTTCCTTTTTCCCCTGACCTATTTTCGGGGGTAGGGAAGTCTAGAAAAACTAAGCGTGAAAGGAGGCTAGACAAACTTAGAGGTACAAAGGCACTGGTTACAGAGCTCTCTACAGTTATGATAGGGGAGGAAGTTACCAGCTCTACACAGGGTTCCGCCTCCCCGCTTGTGCAACCGGAGGGTTCCACGGAGGCAAACGAACCTACTCCCTTTGAATTACGGGACATAGAGGCTTCTGGGAGAAACTTTGGACGGAACCAAGCCAATGACCCTACAATTACCCATGCTAGGGCAGGGGCAGTGGAGATAAATTGGATAAGAGTAGAAGGGAAAGTATTAGGTCCAGCACCTTCATAATTAAGGATGATCTCCTATATAGGGTCACA